TCTGTCTGTCTGTCTGTCTGTCTGTCTGTCTGTCTGTCTGTCTGTCTATCTATCTATCTATCTATCTGAAGAGGTCTGTTAGCGTGTTCAGATGGAAAACATTTACTAATCAGCTTTACATAATGTTTGTATGTGAATATACTGTAACCAAAGGAATGACCTAACTATAATTGCATTTTAATCTGAGTTTGAATTTGATTTTTAATAGATTTTTTTATATTGTACTCTTAAGAAAATTTTTGATGCAAACTGGCTGTATCAAGACAAACTAAATTAAATTGAAYTGAAATAATCCTTTGCTTACCTGACGTTGATCTTGAACAGCTGCCATTTCAGTTTCTGCTGAACTTTCCTCAACTGGAACCATTCTCCTAACACCTGTTGAATTTAAAATTAACACGTTTCTTTTATTCCAAATATCAACTTTTGCCTAAAATGTGAAAAAGACAAACACTTGTTTTGGGATGACCTGGAAGTAATTCAGCCTCTGTCAGAACAACACCGATAACAGACTTTTTCTGCCCAGTTGTCGGACCGTCTTCATTTGAGACGYTGTCTTTGAAGAGTTTTAAGCTGCTCACTTCTAAACGTAAACAAAGGTTTATATTTAAAACAAAATGTTTCCTAATTATTTTAAAAGACTGCAGACGAATCTTAAACTTGCCTTTTCCCTTTGAGAACCTTGCAGGTTTTTGTTTAACGTGGTTCACAACTGCTCCTCCAGAATCCACATTTTCAGAKCCTCCTTCTTCTTCTCCACCACCGACACTCTCTGAAAACGACCCACATTAGTTCATCAGAAAAACTCTGAATGTAAATAATTTTCTGTCGGCCACCTTTCTCCTCACCATTCTCRTTGTCATCCTCCTCTACATCCTCTCCTCTCAGGCAGATGTGTTTGAGGATCTGTCGTTTGTTTCCAAATGAGCGACGGCAGCGTCTGCATTCCAGTGTTAAAAACGCACCACGACTTTCATCTCAACAGAAAAAATAATAATAATAACAGAGTCAGAATGAATTAATATCACTTTGTCATATTTTAGTAAAAGAAATTTATTACTAAACAAAGAGTTATCAGATTAAAAAGCAAAGAACCAACCAGAWGAACAAATATATTTATCAGTAGATGAAAAGAAATTAAATACGAGGTATATAAAAATATAAACAGAACTACCATTGACTGAACTWCCCTCTCGGTCTTCCTCTTTGCTCGTCTCTTGGTCTCTTTTCAAACCATCCTCTGCAGAAMGACCAGCAGCACTCGTGTCCTCTGTCAAGTCGATGAGAATCTTCTTTGTGGAGCCTTTTGGTCGTCCTCTTTTTTGTTTCGCTGGACCCTCTGAGAGCAAACAAATGAGAAGAACAAAGATGTCAGCACCTAAATTTGTTATTATAACATGTTTATAGGTAGCTTTTTTCATTTTGCATTTGTATTTTAACTTTGAGTTCATCACTACTATTCATCTGAAATTAAACGTGTTTCAGTCCCGTAGTGTATTGTGAGAGATGGAATCAATTCTGTGACAGAAATCCTTAGAATATCGTGTCAGTTCTACCTGCCAGCGGATCCACACTCTCTGATATAAGAGGCTGCAGTGCAATCATAATGTCTTCTGGAGATTCATGATGGGGATGCAGCTGGGAGCAATGAAGCAACAGTTGAGAGTGACTGGGAGTGAAGAGTTTGCACAGTTGACACATAAACACAGAACCAGCTGCAAAGACAAAGAACAAACATAGAAGATGAAGAAACAAATTCACCTCTGTATTGTACATTATTAACAGCTACTATTCATTAAAAAATAAAAGAACCACAACTAACTGAATGTCTAATTCTTATTTCTTACAGTGAGCTTTATTCAATTTTATAACAGACAGTTAAAATCATAACAAGATGCCAATTAAAACCAAATTGGCTGTCTGCACCATACACAGACAAATAGTTAATTAATATTAATAAATTTACTGTGGGGTCTTTACTCTGCAATCATTAAGTAATTTAATTAAAAAAATTTGACATTAGCGTTTACACAAGACTAAAAAAGACAAAAATCCGTGGCTAAAGATGTTTTTAGTAGATTTAATCCAGAAATGTTAGTTTGTTTTAAATTTGAGATAAATGAGGAAACGATCAACATTTTCGAGTTAAAATTAGTCAAAACTCGTACCTGTTTGTTTTCCGTCCATTTTCCTCACGTATCAAAAGAAACAATAAATATTAATTTGTGCGCATTATAGACTAACTGAATAGATAGTTAGAGTTTTTTTTTTACTTTACAAAACCACTGCTGTCTGTCGAATCTGCAACACAAGTCTATCCAGTTAGCGGAAGTAGCTGCTACCAAACTAGCATGCTAGTATGGAGATGAGCTGCGCCCTCTGGTGGTAGGAAGAAAACACTACAACTGTAAAATACTACTGCACAAAACAGCTTATAAAGTGCAGACATTTAGACAAATGTTTAATTGAACAATGCAAAATATACATTTTTACATACATATACAGCCCTTTTTTCTGTTTCTCCCCTTAATTTTTTTTTTACCTAAAAGGTTCATCTCATGTCAGTTCAACATCTAAAGACTACTGGCTACACAAAAACACAARCACCTGCATCCACATTATTCATTCTCTCTTTAACCTTCACTCAGTCTGCTTCTTCTAAACTTTATTTCTGTTTTTACTTTGTATTTTCTCATTTGTTTCCTCAGAAAATTATTGAAAGAAAAGAATTTTCTGATCAAATATTTACATATAAAATGCATAATCATGAAAAGTGCATCAGCAAAAAAGCATTTTTGTTAAATAAACTGACAGAAAGAAATGTGCTCAAACAAAACAGGTGCAAAAATTCAAATATGTTTCAGAGAATATGACTTAGACAGCAAAAAAACTTCAACTGTTTCAAAATCAGTGTAGCTAGGGTTCAAAATTGAGTCAACATTTGTTGTGAGTGCTGTCTTTGGGCATTTTGTTTTTTTGGTAAAACATTACAAAATTCTTAAAGTAGTCATTTTTTATCTAAAGGTTTAAAACACTTTGAGGTCATTGTATTTTTGGTGTGTCAAGGACCAGTCAGCATCAATAAATCATTACGTAAAAAACACATATGTTAAATGTAATATC